GCAGTTTGCAAGAGCCCCAAAGGTTAATAGTAGCAAGTCTGCAAGCCAGTCTGCAGGCCTCCTTTGCAGTTATTGGCCCAGAGAGTAACTTTTGAACCCGCCTCTTCTACCAGGCCAGACCTCCATTTTGGAGTCCTCCCTGCCTTCAGTTTGGAAAGAAAGTCCTGATATCCTGGAAGCTATCAAGAAAACCCTAGAGAAAACCATCGCAAGTACTAAACTAAACTAAACTGAATAAATTGGGCTGTAGATAAAAGGTTAAATAATTTAGGATAGAAAGGTGAATTAGGTTATAGGTAGAAAGAACTATATATAAACTAAATATAAGTAAATTGGGCTTATAGATAGATAGAAAGGCTTAGGGAGCTATTGAGCTATAGAGGAGTTTATTGAGCTATAGAAAAGCAACTGAGTACATAGAATTTTGAGATAGAATTGAGTTAGAGTTATAGATAAAATTTAAGATAGCTATTGAGCTCCATTTGCCTCATCTTTAAACTAACCCAGCTGCGCCCGTACCTTGGGAAGTCTGACTTGGCCACAGTAGTCCACGCTCTGATTACATCCCGCCTAGACTACTGCAACGCTCTCTACGTGGGGCTGCCCTTGAAGACGGCCCGGAAGCTTCAATTAGTCCAACGTGCGGCAGCCATGATTCTAACAGGAGCGGAGCGCAGGGAGCATACGACCCCCCTGTTGCGCCAGCTCCATTGGCTGCCGATCTGCTACCGGGCTCAATTCAAGGTGTTGGCGTTGGCCTATAAAGCCCTAAACGGTTCCAGCCCAAGATACCTTTCTGACTGCATCTCGGCCTATGAACCCACCAGGACTCTGAGATCTTCCGGGGAGGCCCTGCTCTCGATCCCGCCGGCTTCTCAAGCACGGTTGGCGGGGACGAGAGATAGGGCCTTCTCGGTGGTGGCTCCTCGGCTGTGGAACGCCCTTCCTACAGATATTAGGCTGGCACCATCTCTTATGGCATTCCGAAGGATGTTGAAGACCTGGATGTTTGTACAGGCGCTCGAGTAATCTAGTGCAATATTTGGTAATTGAACATAGGAATGGAACAATGGATAACGAACCTGGACTACGCTTGGATGATGAGACGATTGGGTATGGTTATTGTAATAATTGTGTATTGTAATTGCTTATTGTTATTAGTGGATAATGTGTTAATTGTACGTTGCATCGAATTACTGCTGTTTTTACTGTTTGTTAACCGCTGTGAGTCGCCTTCGGGCTGAGAACAGCGGTATATAAGCAAGGTAAATAAATGGATGACCTCCGCAGAGAGCTGGACAGGGGGAGTGTGACCCTATTGGTTCTCTTGGACATCTCAGCGGCTTTCGATACCATCGATCATGGTATCCTTCTGGGACAACTCTCCAGGATGGGCCTTGGGGACACGGCTCTGTCGTGGCTCCAGTCCTTCCTGGAGGGTCGATCCCAGATGGTGAAGCTGGGAGACGCCTGCTCGGACCCCTGGCCTTTGACCTGTGGGGTCCCGCAAGATTCCATTTTATCTCCCATGCTTTTTAACATCTACATGAAACCGCTGGGAGAGGTCATCCGGAGTTTTGGAGTTGGGTGCCATCTCTATGCAGATGACACGCAAGTCTACTACTCTTTTCCACCTAATTCCAAGGAAGCCCCTCAGGTGCTGGACGAGTGTCTGGCCTCTGTGGCTGTCTGGATGAGGACAAACAAGCTGAAGATTAATCCCGACAAGACAGAGGTCTTCCTAGTTGATCATAAAGCAGATCGGGGTATAGGGTGGCAACCTGTGTTGGATGGGGTTGCACTCCCCCTGAAGTCACAGGTCTACAGTTTGGGTGTCCTCCTGGACTCATCACTTATGTTTGAGGCTCAGGCGTCAGCGGTGGCCGGGAGGGCCTTTGCACAATTAAGACTTGTGTGCCAACTGCGACCGTACCTCATGAAGGTGGATCTGACTAGGGTGGTCCATGCCTTAGACACCTCCAGATTGGACTACTGTAATGCGCTGTATGTGGGGCTGCCCTTGAAAATGGCTCGGAAATTCCAGTTGGTCCAATGGGTGGCGGCCAGGTTGTTAACTGGGGCTCCTTACAGGGAGAGGTCAACCCTCCTGTTTAAGGAGCTCCACTGGCTGTCATTCATTTTCCGGACCAAATTCAAAGTGCAGGTTCTTACCTACAAGGTCTTGAACGGTTTGGGACCTGCCTACCTGCATGACCGCATTTCTGTGTACGAACCCACACAATCTCTTCGATCATCTGGAGAGGCCCTACTCATGCTCCCACCTGCATTGCAAATGCGATTGGTGGGGATGAGAGAGAGGGCCTTCTCGGTGGTGGCCCCTTGACTCTGGAACTCCCTCCCTAAGGACATCAGGCATGCCCCATCTTTGGCAGTCTTCAGGAGGAGCTTGAAAACGTGATTGTTCCAGTGTGCCATCCCAGAGTAATGAACTCTAGCACTATGTCCCACAAAGCAGTTTATATTGATTTAGGTCTGCTGGTATTCTCCATCAATCGCCCCATCTCTTGCATCTTGTCCATGCCTAGCATTATTTTTTAAACTTTAATTACATTTGGCCCAGCCATAGTTTTAAATGTGCACTGTATTTGTTTAACGTTTATGCTATTTGTGTATGTGTTTTATTTTTAATTGCTTTGTATTGTTATTGCTTGTATTGAAACTTGTGTGCCAGTTGCGCCCGTACCTTGGGAAGTCTGACTTGGCCACAGTGGTCCACACTCTTGTTATATCCCGAATAGATTACTGCAACGTGCTCTACGTGGGGTTGCCTTTGAAAATTGTTCAGAAACTTCAGTTAGTCCAACGAGCGGCAGCTAGATTAATCACCAGAGCGTCATACAGGGAGCATACCACCCCTCTGTTGTGTCAGCTCCACTGGCTGCCGATCCAGTTCCGAGCACAATTCAAAGTGCTGGTATTGACCTATAAAACCCTATATGACTCTGGCCCAGCGTACCTGTCCGAACGTATCTCTTTATATGTCCCACCTCGGAGCTTAAGATCTTCTGGGGAGGCCCTGCTCTCGGCCCCGCCTCTATCACAAGTGAGGCTGGTGGGGACGAGGGACAGGGCCTTCTCAGTGGTGGCCCCTCACCTGTGGAACTCACTCCCCGGGGAAATTAGGTAATCTGGCAGACTGACAAAGTAATGACGACCAGAATTTGGAAAGGACTATGGTAATGCTGAACGGACTTACGGATTTTAGAACTCGGTGAACGTTGGCCACTAGATTGGCTTTTAGTTGTTATTATATCAATTGAATGTTTTAACTTGTGGTTATTTGTTGTTATGTATTTTATCTGTTGAATTGTTGGCATCGAATTGTGCCGGTTGTAAGCCACCCTGAGTCCCCCCTAGGGGGTTGAGAAGGGCGGGGTAGAAGTGCCCAAAATAAATAAATAAATATTGTTTGTATTGCGGGTTCAGCCTCATGTAAGCCGCATCGAGTCCCTTGGGGAGATGGTAGCGGAGTATAAATAAAGTTTTTTTATATTATTATTATTATTATTATTATTATTATTATTATTATTATCATCATCATCATCATGGCTCGACAACACCATGAATGGTGAGGAATGGGAATGGTGATATGGAAAATGCCAGCTCTTCGGCTTAGAAATGGAGATGAGCACCACACCCCAGAGTCAGACATGACTGGACTTAATGTCAGGGGACCAGGGGAGCATTTGCACAGCTTAGGCTCGTGCGCCAGCTGCGCCCGTACCTCGGGAAGTCTGACTTGGCCACGGTAGTCCACACTCTAGTTACATCCCGCTTAGACTACTGCAACGCTCTCTACGTGGGGTTGCCCTTGAAGACAGCTCGGAAGCTCCAATTGGTCCAACGTGCGGCAGCCATGATTCTAACAGGAGCGGGGCGCAGGGAGCATACAACTCCCCTGCTGTACCAGCTCCACTGGCTGCTGATCTGCTACCGGGCTCAATTCAAGGTGCTGGCATTGGCCTATAAAGCCCTAAACAGTTCTGGCCCAAGATACCTAACTGACTGCCTCTCGGCCTATGAGCCCACGAGGACTTTGAGATCTTCCGGGGAGGCCCTGCTCTCGATCCCGCCTGCGTCACAAGCACGGCTGGCGGGGACGAGAGATAGGGCCTTCTCGGTGGTGGCTCCTCGGCTGTGGAACACCCTTCCCGTAGACATCAGGCTAGCCCCCTCCCTGTTGATTTTCCGCAGGAAGCTAAAGACCTGGTTGTTTAAGAAGGCATTTGAATAGAAGTGCAATGACTGGTAACTCGACCATAGGAATGGAACAACGGAAATGGTATCGGATTGTGAATTTGACAATGAGACGACTCGGAATGGCTTGTAGTAATGTTGATGTTTTTGATGTGATGTTTTGATAAGGATGTACTGTGGATTATTTTACTTTATGTTGTATCTTGCACCTGTTTTCTATGTTGTACACCGCAATGAGTCGCCGTTAGGCTGAGAATTGCGGTATATAAGCGAAGTAAATAAATAAATAAACAACCTTTACCTTTACCTATGGCAGTGTAGAAGGGCCCCAGTTTCAGACCGAGCTATTAGGCTGCCACCATCTTTGGAAATATTTACATCTAACAAGTGCTTTTTCAAATCTACTTATTATTTATTTCTATTTTTTGCAGACCCTATTTTCAGCAGCAACATGTGCTGAAGTCAAACCCATTTCCATGTGGTGTGAATGGGGGGAATCCCCCCACAAAAACCCCCAGACAGAATGGATTTTCCAACTTCCTAGTCTGCTTTGTTGGTCCTTGTTCAGGAATGCCAAATTATTGAAGACCTCATGGAATCTATACGGTGTTGGATGCCGGGACAGGAAAAGACAGAACACTGGGGGTTTTCCTCAATGTGACACATGACATTCTGAACATGATTGAGGATGTTTAAAAAAGCACATTTCTCCCATCGGGGTCATGGCAGGATATTATCCACATTACAACTGCCCCGATTCTGTTCCCTTTTCTGTACGCATCTCTGTAAGATCCAGGAAGGACAAGTCACCTACTTCCTACCTTTTGTAACTGAAAGGAGAAAATACGTGCATATTTCTTGTTTTTCTTTCCCTCGTGGAAAAAAAATCTACTCCACCCTGCAACTTCTCTTATCTTATAAGAACATTCAGCACTTATTGCAGTCATTGGATCGAGGAGCGCACACCGCACATACTTCCAACCACGTTGCGCCACCTGGAACTGAAGCTATGGGCAACTGCATCCATGCGGTGAGTCTTAGGGGAACCCCTTCTTTAGGCTTCACCAGAAAGGCATTTTGAGGTGGATTTGGTTGGAGAGCTAAGTCGTTGTCTTTCAGGATTGCAGAAACCAGGAGTGCAATTGAGCACTGTGCCCTATAGGCTTGTGCATTTGGGGTAAACCTTGACCTGTTTCATGTCTCGGCTTTTGGTAGGGGCCCAGTCCATTTTTTGGGAGCCTCAGGGGGGCTTCCCACCCAGTCTCCTCTTTCCGACACATGGTTCTTCTTACCTGCTGTTTCTGCTCTAGAGGTGGCGCTCGGTGCACACGATGTCTGGGTCTCCATGCCACACATGCACTCTCTTTCCAAAGCAAGGAAGCAAGTTCTGTTTCTTACTCTAGAGCAGTGTTTCTCAACCTGGGGGTCAAGACCACTGGGGGGGGTCGTGAGGGGGTGTCAGAGGGGTCGCCAAAGACCATCGGAAAACACAATCTTTTCTGTTAGTCATCGGGGTTCTGTGTGGGAAGTTTGGCCCAATTCTATCATTGGTGGGGTTCAGAATGCTCTTTGATTGTGGGTGAACTATAAATCCCAGCAACTACAACTCCCAAATGTCGAAGTCTATTTTCCCCAAGCTCCACTAGTGTTCACATTTGGGCATATTGAGTATCCGTGCCAAGTTTAGTCTAGATCCATCATTGTTTGAGTCCACAGTGCTCTCTGGATGTAAGTGAACTACAGCTCCCAAACTCAAGGTCAATGCCCACCAAACCCTTCGAGTATTTTCTGTTGGCCATGGGAGTTCTGTGTGCCAGGTTTGGTTCAGAATGCTCTTTGATTGTAGATTAACTATAAATGACTGCAACTACAACTCCCAAATTACAAAATCCATCCCCCCACTCACCAGTATTCAATCAGAGCGTATTGGGTATTTGTGCCAAATTTGGTCCAGTGAATGAAAATACATCCTGCATATCAGATATTTACATTACAATTCATAACAGCAGCAAAATTACAGTGATGATGTAGCAATGAAAATAATGTTATATTTAGGAGTTACCACAACAGGAGGAACTGTATTAAGGGGTCGCAGCATTAGGAATGTTGAGAAACACTGCTCTAGAGGAAGGTTGAGAAACACTGCTTGGCTGCAGGCACTGGCAGGCATGCAAGCTTGGCCTGCACACCACACCCATGCAGTACATGAAAGCGTGTGCACCTGCCAGTGCCTGAAGCCGAACACCTCCTCTAGAGTAAGAATTTCTTACTCTAGAGGAGGATATCAACTGCAGGCACTGGCATGTGCATGCTTTCTGGGCCTGCACACATCACACACACTCTCTTTCCAAGGCAAGGAGGCAAATTCTGTTTCTTACTCTAGAGAAGGCACTTGGATGTAGGCACTGGCAGGGCACACACTTGGCCTATATGCCACACACACACTCTCTTTCCAATGCAAGGAGGCAAGTTCTGTTTCTTACTCTAGAGGAGGTGCTCAGCTGCAGGCACTGGCATGTGCATGCTTTCTGGGCCTGCACACCACACACACACTCTCTTTCCAAGGCAAGGAGGCAAATTCTGTTTCTTACTCTAGAGAAGGCACTTGGATGTAGGCACTGGCAGGGCACACACTTGGCCTATATGCCACACACACACTCTCTTTCCAATGCAAGGAGGCAAGTTCTGTTTCTTACTCTAGAGGAGGTGCTCAGCTGCAGGCACTGGCATGTGCATGCTTTCTGGGCCTGCACACCACACACACACTCTCTTTCCAAGGCAAGGAGGCAAATTCTGTTTCTTACTCTAGAGGAGGTTGGATGTAGGCACTGGCAGGGCACACACTTGGCCTATATGCCACACACACACTCTCTTTCCAATGCAAGGAGGCAAGTTCTGTTTCTTACTCTAGAGGAGGTGCTCAGCTGCAGGCACTGGCATGTGCATGCTTTCTGGGCCTGCACACCACACACACACTCTCTTTCCAAGGCAAGGAGGCAAATTCTGTTTCTTACTCTAGAGGAGGCGCTTGGATGTAGGCTCTGGCAGGCCACACACTTGGCCTACACGCCACACACACACTCTCTTTCCAATGCAAGGAGGCAAGTTCTGTTTCTTGTTCTAGAGAAGGCACTTGGCTGCAGGCATTGGCAGGCACATGCACTTGACCTACATGCCACACACTCAATTTCTTTCCAAGGAGAGTGCATGTGTGGCATGCAGGCCAGTAAGCGCATACCTGCCGGTGCCTGCAGCCAATAATCTCCTCTAGAGTAAGAATTTCTTACTCTAAGGCAAGATGTTCTGGGAGATGCTCGGCTTTAAGCATGCATGCCACGCACTCTCCAAGGCATTTTAAGGAGGCTTCCCACTTCCAAGTAAGGAAGAACAATAAACTCCTGGAAGAGTAGTTTTCAGGGAATGAGGGTTAACTTTTTGTTTCCTGGGGGATTAATAAAAAAGATTAAGCTGTGATGCTGAAAAGCAGGCTTGGCGCCGGTACCCACTCTTGCTTGCTTTCATGTCGAGCTTATTTTCGTACTGGGAGGAGCCCTCCATTATGTGCTCCCGAAGTACCAAAAGAAATGGAAGAATCAAAGTAATGGCAGAAATGAATTCCGCACAAAAGTCTATGCCCAATGTCTTAAAAACTTTAGCAAAACAACAAACTCCAACTGTATCCTTAGCAGTTGAAATGGCATCCAAAACATCTAATTTGGATAGCCTGAAGGTGTGTCTACGCTGTCGAATGAATGCCGTTGGATTCTGTTTTAAGCACCATAGTTCGATGCTATGGGATTGTGACAGTTGTCATTTTACAAGGTCTTGAGCCTTCTCTGCTTTGACAGTGTATATGCACCAAAAAACAAAAATGGATAAGCACCACTGCTGTTGAGACTAAACAAAAGAGAGAGGCATATTTCCAGATTTTGAGGCCGTCCACATTGCAGAACGATAGCAGTTTGACTCCACTTGTGGCATCTTGGGGTTTGTAGTTTCTTACAGCGTCAGTGCTATCTCACAGGGAAAGGTAAATATCTCACAACTCTTAGAATCCCATGGCAGTTAACATATCAGTCATTTCCACCAGATGCTAAGGAGGCTGTCCAAGTCCTGAACCGGTGCCTGGCCGCTGTGACGGTCTGGATGAAGGCAAGCAAATTGAAGTTGAATCCAGACAAGACAGAGGTCCTCCTGGTCAATTGCAAGGCTGAACAGGGTATAGGGTCACAACCTGTGCTGGATGGGGTCACACTCCCCCTGAAGACGCAGGTTCGCAGCTTGGGGGTCCTCCTGGACTCATCACTGAGCCTGGAATCCCAGGTTGCAGCAGTGGCTAGGGGAGCATTCATACAATTAAAACTTGTGTGCCAGCTGCGCCCGTAACTTGGGAAGTCAGACTTGGCCACGGTGGTCCATGCTTTCGTTACATCTAGGATAGACTACTGCAATGCACTCTATGTGGGGTTGCCTTTGAAGACTGCTCGGAAGCTTCAAATAGTCCCAACAAGAGGCAGCCAGGTAATAACTGGGGAGCATACAACTCCCATGTTACGCCAGCTCCACTGGCTGCCAGTTTGCTACTGGGCACAATTCGAAGTGCTGGCTTTGGCCTATATAGCCCTAAATGGCCCCAGCCCAAATTACCTGTCCGAACGCATCTTCCCCTATGAACCATCGCGGAGATTAAGATACTCTGAGGAGGCCCTGCTTTCTGTCCCGCCATTGTCACAGGCATGATTGGTGGGGATGAGAAACAGGGCCTTCTCGGTGATTGCTCACCGGTTATGGAACTCCCTTCCTGGTGAGATCAGGTCTGCCCCCTCCCTCCTGTCCTTTAGAAGGATGGTCAAAACTTGGCTGTGGGACCAAGCTTTCAGGACAGGGCAACAAAGCAGCAATAGGAAAGATGACCAGGCCAATTAGACTTGACATGAATGACTAGGATGGTTTTAAATGGTGTATTTTAATATTTTGATAAATGTTTTTTAATGTTTATGTATGTACCGTATATACTCGAATATAAGCCGAGTTTTTCAGCCTTTTTTCAGGCTGAAAAACCTCCCCTCAGCTTATATTCGGGTCAGGGAAAGGAGGAGGGAAAGGCAAACCTTCCTTGGCAGCCTCGGCAGCGGCAGAGGAGAAGGAAGCCTCTGCGGCAGGCTTTTCCGCAGGCTTGCTCTCTTTCTTCCTGGTCCCATGCGCGGCCGCGGTGGCGGTGGTGGGGGCAGCGGCGGGAGGAAGCAGAAAAGCCGCGCATGGTGTGAGGGGGCAGGGCAAGTGCACGCCACTCCCCTTCCTCTCTTGCCGCACGCGCACCTTTTTCGGAGGCAGGGAAGACACACGAGGGAGAAGGGAAAGGTGCACGCCTTTCTCTCCTCCCTTGCCCTGTGCACGCCTTTACTGCCACTACCGCGGCAAGAGAAGAAGAGGAGTGGTGTGCACTTGCCCCGCCCCCTCACACCATGCGCGGCTTTCCTGAGTCCTCCCACCACAACCCCTGCCACCGTGGCTGCGCATGGGACAAGGAAGAAGGTGCGTGCACAGCAAGAGGGGAGTGGTGAGCACTTTCCCTTCCCCCTCCCCCCTCGCGCGGCTTTTCTGCTTCCTCCCACCGCTGCTCCCGCCACCGCCACCGCGGACGCGCATGAGACCAGGAAGAAGGAGAGCAAGCCTGCGGAAAAGCCTGCCGCAGAGGCTTCCTTCTCCTCTGCCGCCGCCAAGGAAAGCTCGTGCTCCACATGGGGAGAGGGAATGACAGAAAACTGGGTGGTCATCTGTCAAACTGACCAGTAGCGGCTGCATTTTTCACCCTCGGCTTATACTCGAGTCAATAAGATTTCCCAGTTATTTGTGGTAAAATTAGGTGCCTCGGCTTATATTCGGGTCGGCTTATATTCGAGTATATACGGTATATAAGAATTTGTGTCCCTGCATTGAATGTTTGTGTTGTAGCTCAGCGTCCTGACAGAGCTGCTACTCCTAGTAGCAGTGGGGAAAGGTCTCCTCGGGAGTCAGAGAGTGAAAGGC